TTTGAAACTGTAGATGATCAGAACCATGCACCTTGTCCACTGGCTCAACGCTCAGAGAAATTGTCCCCTTTTGACTTTAGCTTGAGCACCTTCAACCAGTTACAGCCAGGTGGTCCCTCACTGGGTCCTTTAGTAATATACTGAGCCCCTTACTCTCTCAGTCACTGCCAAAATGTACTTCAGTTGTATAATTGTGTTCTTTTTGTATTGATAATAAGTGAAAATGTAAAACATCTTTAATCCTTCAATTACAACTTAAATATACTGTGATCTAAAACTCATTTGACAGACACTGAAATACTTCAAAATGTGTTTCAATGCTTTTGTTAAGAATAAGATATATGGGTTTTATCAACACAATCCCAAGTTTAAAAAAAGTGACGTACTTTATACATACCGTTTAAATTATATTACTGATGATTGATTAGAAATAAGGCAGAACCATCAATCAGATTTTCATCGTCATTCAGATGTCAAAATGCAGAAAAACATGTCGCAAAACCCTTCTTCAAACACACATCTGAGATTTCCCTCGCAAGAAACTGACCTATTTCATATTTACATTTGAGTTCTACAAGTGTTTGATAACAGCATTTGAGGGACTTACTCAATAAATGGGTTTGTTTATCCATCTATGAAGATCACAGAAAGATATCCGTGATTTATCTTTTCACTGTATCTGCACTTGTGTTTTTACCTTAATTGATCGCATTGGATTGATAAATATCAGTCAGACATATTTCATTAAAAACACTCCTTTGTAATCTCTGGTATTATTCTGATGTTTTCTGTTTGCCATGAAGAGTCCGACAGAGATGTACCATCTCACCTCCCACGACGTCTGATCATTCATCAGAGCATCAGACAATAAGAGTGACGTCATGGAAAAAGTTTATTTTTAGAGTTCATCTACATAACTGGTGTGCTCTGTGTAGTTTGACTTTCAATTATTTTAAGCACATTTCACTTTCTTGTAACTCTTTATCACACCATAAAAGAGACAAAAATTGGTTTGACCAATTGCTGCTAAAGTCAACCTCTTTTAGCAACTCATCTCTGGCTTTCTTTCTTCACCCGAAATTCCAGGGACAGAAAAAATATGAACAACTTTCAGTCTATCAGGTGCAATGCTGATGCACCAGTCCGTCTCCTAGGTTACTGCACCTCAAAAACAATACCTCAAGCCAAAAAGGCCCGGGGATGTTTGGAGAAATCTTGCTTGTGTTATTTTTTTTTTGTGCGAGTCAGAGCAGTGAAGTAAAGTCTTTCAGTCGTGGTGGTTTTCATTCCACAGCAGGTAACACATCACACGCAACCTATCGACTGGGTGGTTAGAAAGTGAGCAGACTTAAGGTAACTTTTAGATTGGGATGTTCACAGTGTGAGAGAGACGGATCACCTGTCCAGCCCCCTTCCTTTTACCACTTGTCTTTCTCCCTCTCTTAGTTCTCATCCTGCTGAGAGACGTACTACATCCGTCATCTCCTCCATCACTGCACAAACATCAGCTGTGTTGATATGAGTTGAGATGAGAAGAAATCATTTCAGATCAACCAAGAAAATAACACTGCAGCGACTCCTCCACCCTGTTCTGTTTGATTTCATAACTCGGATAAACAAACACACGCATTGGTTAGGCCAAATTTTCTCAGGTTCACACATGCCTTGAGTGTGTGTGCGTATGTGCCCTCCGCCCTGCTTTAACTACAAATGGCTTATCAATCTTTACCAGATCGCATGTGTTTTTTTTCAGACGCTCCATCTCTGCCAGGCAACACACTCACTCTCACACACACACACACACACACACACACACACATGTGGCACGCACAGCGTTAAAGGGGTGTCAGACCAAGTCATAAATCATCGCTGGATCAGTCTTTCCAAAGAACAGTGTGCCTGTCTTTTTTTTTCGCTCTCTGCAGTCATCGCTGTAGTTTGAAGGGACAACTTTGGAAGATTTGTCTATTTGGTTTTAAAAGAATAAATATCCATAATATGGTAAACGTTATGTGTAAAGAGCTTTAATATGAGCACCCCCCCCCCTTCCACTCTCTCTGTCTCTCTCCTCGCGGTCTGGAAAAGAGCAGAACTCATCAGAGTGCTAATAAAAGACAGGTGCACTGTAATTCCTTTTGAACGCTCTCTCATCTCTCTACAGTTGGAAAACAGTGGTGTACTCTCTCTCTCTCACTTCACGTTCAGGGGGCTGGATACCAGAGCTACGTCCAATAAGGTTTTCAGATCATCTCCCTGCAGGACTGAGAGAATTTTCATCTGTCTGCCTGAGTTGAACAGATGGACAGAGAGTTTTCAGTGGAACATTTCTGTCAGCTCCGTGTATCAGACTCACTTTATAAAGAAACAGTAAAAAATGTGATATTGGGTTGAACCAGCAAAAAGGGAAAAATGTGTGTTTCTGTATGCAGCATTTGGAGACTGTGGATTTTCCTGCTCTTAATGTAAGATGTTAACAGAAACAACATGGTTAGCCTCTATCATTGATTTTAAAGCTTAAGAGAATGCTGTTTACTAAATACATAATAAAAAAACCATTATAATACAACCTCTAACCATAATGTGTAGTTAGAGGTTATAAAAACATGTGTTTAATATCAGTCCTGTTCTAGCATCCCTTCACTGGCTCTCAATACGCTTCAGGATCTATTATAAGGTTGCACTGTTTGTTTTTTAAGCCCTGAACATTGCCCCCTTAGATTGTCAGACATGGGCCTCCTGGCTGTCCCCCCGCTTACGGCTCAAACTCAAAGGTGATGGGGCCTTTGCAGTCAAAGCCCCTAAAGGCCCTGACAGAGCAAGGAGAATGTCGGGCCGTCGGTCACAGTTGGACCGTCGGTGAGCGATCGTCGCCCTAGTTTTTGTGGTTTTGCGGCTCGTCGCTACCCGTTGATATGTCGACCTCTTTTTTGACTGGTTCCACATGTTGAATTGGCGTTGGCGGTCGCTGAGAGGAACCTCTCTGATTGGCTGTTCGGAGGTTTCATTTCTCTCCAGCTCTCGACACAGGCTCGGGAAAGCTCCTTGAGCATGCCACTGTAGTAATGCTTTCAACCATTTGTCGTCTTCGCCTCTTCTTTTCTTTTTCCACTAAAAGACCAAGGGCTGAAACGCCAGTGCCATTTTCAACATTTTATCAGACATTATTCTCCTTTAGTAGGCTACCTATAGGTGTCGCCTGCTGGCATGGAGTGTTCTCGTGGTGCTTGGCCTTGGTGGCCACTAGTTCTTTGCCGCCTGCTTGGTGTGTCAGGGCATTACCAAGTGGGAGAGTCTTCCCTCCTACATTACGTCGGCCCCCTCTGTTGACTCTTTAAAAGTCCCGCCTCAAATCATATGTCTACATGTTAGCATTTGAGTCCTCCGGTCCTGAATAGGCCACTCATATCAGGTTTTCTTTATTGCTTTTTTATAGTTATTTCTTTATTCTTATTAATGTTGTAAGCTCTTGTATTTTTTTTCTTGAATGCTTTGTACAGCACTTTGTTCTGCTGCTGCTGTTTTTCAATGTGCTTTATGAATAAATGTAACTTGACTGAAGTCTAGAAGCTCGGCTGTTCAGAGCCGTTTGGAACAACTTTTTTCGGGTTTTGGGAGATTTATGCTGAAACCCCCCTTGCCAAATATTTCGTTCATAGCGTAAAAGGAGTCTAACGCAATCATCAGTAAACAGAATTATGTCACCGTGGTGTTACAAGGGAAAGCTTGACAGGCAACAGTACACAAGTGCACTACAGCTGTGGTCAGCTGAAGTTTATTCAAGGCACATGTTGATCTCTGTCTGTATATGTACGAAGAATGGTGTGTGGTAAAGCTTTTGAAAACAGGGATGAGTGATGTAGATGGTTTTACAGGTATAGAAATATTGAACTCATAACTCTTATTATGTTGACTGTTAGGTGGTGACTACTTCCTGACATCCTCCTCTCACTTTCCTTAGTGATGCGATGACGTGTTTCTTATTTGACACGATTACTTTTACCTTTTGGAATCATGACTTTTTCCAGTTCATTACAGAAACTACATTTGCCGTGCCAAGGTGGATTTGTGGACCTTTATATATTTCTAAAAGATGCCAGTTATTAAAACCAAATACTATATTAGTGAGTTTTATGTCGAGCCCTGTGAGAGCGTCTTCTGCAAAAACCTTTCAAGTGAATCTTCGTTTGAGATCGGTTCAGTTATTATCCGTTGTACTCACAGTTCCATGTGTCCCTTTTTTTTCTCCCAACGTGATGAATGTAGTCTGATAGAACACGCTCATGAATGAATGATGGTCTTCTGTGATCAAAGACTGATGATACCACACAGCGTCACTTGATTTATTTCTCTTTGCATTTTTGTTTTTGTTTATTTTCTTCCTTCCTGTCCTGCAGTGCAAGATGACAGGATGCATGTGTGTGTGTCTGCGCGTGTGTGTGTCTGCGCATGTGTGTGTCTGCGCATGTGTGTGTCTGCGCATGTGTGTGTCTGCGCATGTGTGTGTCTGCGCGTGTGTGTCTGCGCGTGTGTGTCTGCGCGTGTGTGTGCGTGTGTGCGTGCGTGTGTGGTCTATCTGAATGTTGTCTGCCCCTTGCCTTGGCACAACCATTGATTCCTCCCGCTGTAACTTCCTGCCTGAGGCGACTGTAGCATTTCCATTTTCCAGTGGCAACACTCATGATCCAACCATCTCTTTAAAGCCCTCCCCCCGTCCCTTTACTCCTCTTTCCAAGTTTGGACAATCAATCACCCATCCATCCATCCGTCCGTCCATCCATCCATCCATTCAGGACTGCCAGACCACAGCCTCGTCTCATTCATTAATCATCAGCAGTGAGAAGGGGAAAAAGGGAGCAGTCAGGCAGAGAGAGGAAACAGAGAAAGGTGGTGGGGATGACAAGTGAAGGAGATGAAACTTGAACCTCCAGAAAAACCAAAAGAAAAAAAAAAAGATGCTGAGATATTTGTGATGATTAATGATCTGTTTACTTATTTTTCAG